ATTTGTAGGCTACCCTAAAGAAACTAAGGGTTACTACTTCTACATTCCGGCAGAGAACAAGGTGTTCATTGCCAGGAATGCGACTTTTATGGAGCGAGAGTTCGTCTCCAAAAGAGTCAGTGGGAGTAAGATCGAACTTGACGAAGTTCGAGAGCAGCAAGTAGTCGCTGAGCCGAGTGAACAAGTTGAAGAAGTTCAACCTGTTTCACTGCCGGTTGTGACTCCCTTCGACAAGTGAACCTCGGAGATCAAGCAGGATTCGCCAAGAGCCTGTGAGATACGGATTTCTCGTGATTGAGCCTACCACATACCCAGAGGCTATGGCGAGTCCGGATTCTGAGAAATAGCGCGAGACTATGAAGTCTGAGATGCAATCCATGTCAGACAACCAAGTATGGACTCTGGTTGATGCATCTGAAGGGATAAAACCCATCGGATGCAAGTGGATCTTCAAGAAAAAGACCGACATGGATGGCAACGTGCACACGTATAAGGCACGACTTGTGGCGAAAGAATTCCATCAAATTCATGGTATTGACTATGATGAGACCTTTTCGCCCGTAGTTATGCTGAAGTCCATCAGGATCCTACTTGCCATAGCCGCATATTACGACTATGAGATATGGCAAATGGATGTCAAGACCGTGTTCCTTAATGGAAACTTGACCGAGGATGTGTACATGACACAACCCGAAGGTTTTGTCGATCCAAGGAACCCGAGGATGTTGTGCAAGCTTCAGAGGTCGATTTATGAACTGAAGCAGGCTTCGAGGAGCTGGAACCTTCACTTTGATGAGACAATCAAAAGGTTTGGTTTCTCACAGAACGAATACGAGACGTGTGTTTACAAGAAGGCTAGTGGGAGCACAGTTGTATTTCTAGTGTTGTACGTGGATGACATTCTCCTTATAGGGAATGACGTTCCTACCTTGCGAGACGTTAAGTCTTGGCTAGAAACGCAGTTTTCTATGAAGGACCTGGGAGAAGCAGCCTATATTTTAGGCATCAAGATCTATAGAGATAGATCGAGACGTCTTCTAGGATTGTGTCAGAGTACTTACATCGATAAGGTCTTGAAACGGTTCGAGATGCAAGATTCCAAGAAAGGAACATTACCGATGAGCAGTGGCACAGTTCTCTGCAAGAGTCAGTGTCCTACGACACCTGATGAGCGAGAACGCATGGATCGGATTCCTTATGCTTCGGCAATTGGATCGATCATGTATGCCATGCTTTGTACTCGACAGGATGTATCCTACGCGTTGAGCTTTACGAGTAGATATCAGTCAGATCCAGGTGAGTCACACTGGATCGCCGTCAAGAACATCCTGAAGTACTTGAGAAGGACTAAGGATGTGTTCTTGGTATACGGTGGGTCGGAAGACGAGCTCGCTGTAAAGGGTTACACCGATGCTAGTTTTCAGTCAGACCCGGATGACTACAGATCGCAGTCTGGCTAAGTTTTCTGCCTGAACGGAGGGCTGTTAGCTGGAAGAGTTCCAAGCAGGCGACCGTTGCAGATTCTACTACAGAAGCTGAGTATATTGCAGCGTCGGACGCAACAAAGGAAGCTGTTTCGATCAGGAAGGTTGTTGGCGACTTGGATGTTATTCCTAGTACTGATAGCCTTATTGCTCTGTATTGTGACAACAATGGAGCGATCGCGCAAGCGAAAGAACCCAAATCCCATCAACGATCCAAACACATACTCAGACGATTTCACCTGATCAGGGAGATCATAGACAGAGGAGACGTGCACATTTGCAGAGTGTCGACAGATGACAACA